CAGGAGCAGCCTCTCGCCGGTGGCACGTGAAGAAATGAAAAGGAATCAGGGAACCTGCCCGATTTTGGACTGAGAAGCCCGGTTCGGGAGCCCGCTGGGAAATAATTGAGAGAGGAAGAGCTGCCTGCACAAGGGCTGTGCAGAGGGACCGGCGTTTCCACCTCCTCACACCACGCTTGCCCGCTCCAGCTCGCAGCTTTCTCTGCCCCACTGCTTCTGGTGGACACCCGCCAAAACAGCCAAGCCGAGAGGGAGTGGGGAGAGGCACGAACTCACTTGAAATGGTCTTGGAGAGCCACGTTGAAGTCAAAGGCATCCCCTCGGTCAACAAAGCCAACTCCGATGAAAGCTCGGCGGCCTGGGGAAGGAGGAAGAGTAAGGGCTGGAATCGCAAAGCAGCAGAGGAAGAGGGAGAGCCCCGTGCCCGCTGCCTCCTCCAGCTGGAGCTGGGAGCCTGGAAACTGAGATACAGGACTGGGGATATCTTCTGCTTGTTGGTCACATGGGCAGGCTTAGAAAAACCAGCTTTTAAATTAACACAAGGGCGTCAAAGCGGAGGTTGGCATCACAGTGATGGTCCTGCATGCAGAGGCGTCCTCACGCTAACGCCAAGCAGCGAGATTAAACTGGTTTTATTCAAGGTGAAGGACAGAGTGCAGCTGGCGTGAGAGAGTGAGAGAATTCATCCCTCTGCCACCGCACGCAGGGAATATTTAGCCCTTGAAAGCAAGAATCCTTCGCAAACAAGAGCAGCGAGGGCACTGAAGACTTTCTGAGGTGATTCCCCCAACCCGTCCCCCGTGTATCACGCTGCACCGTTCCCGTCTTCGATCCGGATGACGAAATATCTGCTGGAGTCCGTCACGCTCTCTGCTGCCTCCTCCAGCTGGAGCTGGGAGCCTGGAAACTGAGATACAGGACTAGGGATATCTTCTGCTTGTTGGTCACATGGGCAGGCTTAGAAAAACCAGCTTTTAAATTAACACAAGGGCGTCAAAGCGGAGGTTGGCATCACAGTGATGGTCCTGCATGCAGAGGCGTCCTCACGCTAACGCCAAGCAGCGAGATTAAACTGGTTTTATTCAAGGTGAAGGACAGAGTGCAGCTGGCGTGAGAGAGTGAGAGAATTCATCCCTCTGCCACCGCACGCAGGGAATATTTAGCCCTTGAAAGCAAGAATCCTTCGCAAACAAGAGCAGCGAGGGCACTGAAGACTTTCTGAGGTGATTCCCCCAACCCGTCCCCCGTGTATCACGCTGCACCGTTCCCGTCTTCGATCCGGATGACGAAATATCTGCTGGAGTCCGTCACGCTCTCCACAGCGATGCCAGGGAACTGCTCCACCGGCGCCTGGGCAAAAAGTTCTCCTGGAAAAGAGAAACAGGAGCAGGTAACACCAGGGTGTAGCAGCTCTGCGCCGTCTTCCTCCCCACGGAGCAGCGTGGAGCTGCCGCCATCGCTCCTCCTTACCCGAGGTCTTGTCTTCCAGCTTAATGAAAGCGACCTTGCCCTTGGCGGTGATCCGCAGCCTGCCGCTCCCCGCCGGCTGGGGCCCGC